GGGCGGTCGAGACAAGGCGGTTAGGTCAGCTGGGGCGCTAACCTAAGGGTCAGGCGGTGGCGAGACAGGCAAAACGACAGAGTCGTCGGGGTCAGCTGATGGGGGGATGAGCAGACGGAAGGGTGAAGCGATATCCCAGAAGCGGCGCGGCCAAACGTGCACGTGTCATTCGCGGGCCCACTTGGATGTCACTTAAAGGCAGACGTTAAAGAGAAAATTTGGAAAGGGGAGTTTGTGGAGATATTTTCCCTTCTTCCCCTCAAGGAATTCTTGGACTTGAAGGAAGAGGACAAGAAAGATGCCAAGAAGGAGGAAGAGGAGAAAAGGCGGAGGTATCGTAAGATACCAAAGACCTTTGGGAATTGGCTGAGGGCATTTTGTATTCTGGCTAGCGTAATAGGGGAAAAGAGCCCAGGTCGTTGTTCGCAGCTTTTTTGCTACTTGGATGGGATAGGGAATGCGTATCGGACATACGGGGCTTTGGCGTGGTGTAGGTATGACGAGCAGTTTCGTCAGCGCCTAGCAGCTAACGCGAGCATGCGGTGGGACCAGATGGACCTGCCATTATGGATGCGGCTTATGATGGCACAGAAAGCTGCGCCCTTTCCTGGGGCAGCCGGCACGGCCACAGGGGGTGCCGTGTTGGCTGGACAAAAGAAGGGCTTCTGTTGGATGTACAACGAAGGGCACTGCAAGTGGGGAAATTCTTGCAGGTTTCGTCACGAGTGTTCGGGTTGCGGGGGGAATCATGGCGCCAACAGATGCTTCAAGAACGGTAAGCCTAACGGTGGAGGGTGAACCGCTGGGGCAGTATCCCCCGTGGCTACAGCTGGGAGCTTCCCAAGTGAAAGTAGGCGCGATGTTGCCTTGGCTAAGGCAATACGCTAACCAGGACGATGCGAGATTCTTATCGCAGGGATTTAGGGAGGGCTTTTCTATCCCATTTACAGTTAAGGGACGGGTACGATGTGTGTTAACCTTAAGTCCATTCGGGAACACCCGGGGGTGGTGCAGGAAAAGCTAAGCAAGGAAGTCCAACTGGGGAGAATGACGGGCCTGTTCACGTCACCACCATTAGCTGATTTGCGGATATCCCCACTCGGAGTGGTTCCCAAGAAGGAGGCGGGTAAATTCAGATTGATACATCACTTGTCGTACCCAAAAGGGGCCTCTGTAAATTATGACATTGACGCGGCCCTATGCTCCGTATCCTATACGTCATTCGACAAAGCAGTCAAGTTGGTCCGGAGAACGGGGCGAGGGGCGTTGATGGCAAAGGTAGATGTGGAAGCAGCTTTCCAGTTGCTTCCCATACACCCGAAGTGTCATCACCTGCTCAGGTGCTGTTTTGAAGATGGGTTTTTCGTGGACCTGTGTTTACCAATGGGGTGTTCCATATCATGCGCCTATTTTGAAAAGTTTAGTACATATTTGGAATGGGTAGTACGGCGGGAATCGGCGAGGGGCGCGCTAGTGCATTACCTAGACAACTTTCTCTGCGTCGGCCTGCGGAAATCGGACCGTTGCAGGCAGATACTGGAGGTGTTCCAATGGGTAGCACAGTCTTTTGGGGTTCCCTTGGCAGAAGACAAGACTGTGGGGCCCACCACGTGCCTTAGCTTTTTAGGTTTAGAAATTGATTCCGAAAAAGGGGAATGTAGGTTACCTTTATGAGTATGAGGGAGCTGGTAGCCTACAGGACTTCAATTGTAGGGTGTTTTTCCGGGAGCCGGCGATGTAGTCGGAAACTGTAGGGCTGTTTACAGACGCTTCGGGCAGCGTGGGGCTTGGGGCGTGTTTGTTGGGACAATGGTGTGCCGAGGCATGGCCAGAGGCGTGGAAAGCGAGCACCCTGATAAAAAAATCGTTTTTAGAATTTTTCCCGGTAGTGGTAGCGGTGGGGTTATGGGGGTCGGAGTTAGCGAACCAAAATCGTGTTCTATTCGGACAACATGGCAGTGGTGCAGGAGATCAACAGTTTGTCGGCATCTTCCCCCCCGGTTTTATGCTTATTACGGCAGCTAGTACTTAGTACATAGTATTCAGGGCTAGGCACATCGCGGGATTTTTGAACGTTGTGGCTGATGCGCTCTCTCGTTTTCAGTGGGAACATTTCCAGGAAGCAGCGCTGGACGCACAGGAACAAGGGCAGGCTTGCCCGGACGTGATGTGGCAACTCGGGACGTCGTGCTTGGGGAATATATAAGGAATTCTCTGGCGCCGAGCACTTGGTCATCTTATGTGAAGGTTTGGAAGGAGTGGAAGGAGATGGTACAACAGGTAGGAGGTGATCTTTCGGCAGGTCATTGGTTGGACGTATTTTTGTGGTTACTGTGTTGCTTGTTCGCGAAACAGGCATCGCCGGCCATGGTGGACAGACATATGTCTGCCTTGGTCTTTTTGTTCAAGTTCAACGGGTAGTAAGACATCACGAAGAATTTTTTAGTACGACAGGCGGTACAGGGTTTTCGGAGGGGGAAGAAGTCAGTGGACACGAGGAGACCGGTGTCATTCACAGTACTACAGGGGCTGGTGGGGACATTGCCTGGGATATGTTCTTCTGTATTCGAGGTAGCGCTGTTTTCAGGAGCGTTTGTCTGGGAGTTTTTTGGGGCTTTCTGGATAGGGGAGTTGGTTAGTGCCAACAAGGCAGGGGGTTGGCGGATTACAGCTCGAAGACATGGAAATAGGTAATGACAGAGTGCGGATCAGGCTGGGCCGTTCTAAAACTGATGTTTTCTGCAAAGGTTGCTCAGTGGTGTTGTACGAGTTACCGGGTTCAGGGGCATGCCCGGTGGCTTGCGGCGTGCGGTACTTGGACATCCGTCCAAGGGTCAAAGGATGTTTTTTCTTGTGCGCCGATGGCACGGCACTGTCCTGATTTCAATTCATACAGGTTTTTTCGTTTAGGTTTACAGAGGCTGGGCTTGGAGCCCAAACCGTTTGGTACGCACTCGTTCCGTATAGGGGCAGCAACGGAGACGGAACATTTAGGTTTCGGGGACGAGCGGATCAAGCGGATTGGGAGGTGGGAATCCATGTGATTCCGCTCGTACGTGAGGCCCGACAGGTTGGTGTGAACCGAAGGAACAAAGGGGGCTTGGAAAGAGGGAAGTTATCTCTGCCGTACAACTAATTTTGTTTCTTTTCAGGTTGGAAGGTTTGGTTGATTGGCCACTCGTACGTGTACTGGGTGCAGAAGAGAGCCGCAGTTAGAAGAAGTGGATCACAGCTGGGCTTTAATCTGGAGCGGGTGGCAATATCATGGTTTGGTTTTCGGGCATTTAATTGGCAGAGTCTAAGCAGCGTATTGTTTAGAAAGGTGGTAGGAGGGTTGGTCCCAGATGTGGTTTTGGTTCACGGCGGGGGGAACCTAGGGTTGATCCCCCAACGAGAACTGGTACGGAGGATGAAGATCGGCTGCGGGAGCTGGTCCCTGGTGGTGTGGTCCAAGATGGTGCCTCGCTTTACATGGCGGCACTCCAGGGACCCGGCTGCAGTAGCCCGATATAGGGGAAAAGTCAATAAGAATATGGCAGTTTTTATCAGACGGTTGGGGGGGAGTAGTGGTACGACACCAGGAGTTGGAGGGCATGTTACCAGGATATTTCAGGAGGGACGGAGTGCATTTGTCGGCTGTAGGGAGTGACTTACTGAACCTGGGTTTTCAGGAGGGCATAGCCCAGGCCCTGTTTAAGTGTGGTGGGGGTCAAACATGTTCTTAAGGGGGGTCAAGCCATGTGCTGTGGCGCAACAGGGCGTAGTTAAGTTGGAATTGTGCGTGGAATTGGAACTGGACAGGCCAAGGTCTAGGCTGGAGTAGGCCGGACGGAATTAAGTATTGATAGGTTCTAGCTGTTCGGTGGCTACGAACCTAGGGGTGTAGGGGTGTCTTGGTACACCCCTACAGTTAACCGTATGATATGGGGCCTCTTTGGCAGGCCGTGTGTTTCAAGTTAAATGTTATTTGGTTTTTATTTATTGTTCAATTGGTAGGGTCAATGTCAGGGGTACTGTGCGGGGGTATAGTAACATAATGTCTATTAGGACAATGACCCTAAATATGTTAATTTATTATAATTAATTTAATTAAGCTGTGGACTTTATACTCCAACAGTATTATCTGTGTCTGTGTCTTATTTAAGTTTAAGGTTTATAGCACATGCCGAATAACGACTGTGCAAATGTCATGATCTTAGTGGTGGTAGCAGCAGTGATAAATCTAGTGTTAATTATGTTTCCCCCACCACTGCGGACATAGCATTTTTACCTCTGGCCCAGAAGCTACTCTACATAGTTACATAGCTGAAAAGAGACTTATGTCCATCAAGTTCAGCATTCCTCACATATGTTGTTGCTGTTGATCCAAAAGAAGGCAAAAAACCTAGTCTGAAGCGCTTCCAATTTTGCCACAAACTAGGAAAAAATTCCTTCTTGACCCCAAAATAGCAGTCAGATGTTTCCTTGGATCAAGCAGCTATTACCCCACTAATTAGAAATGATATCCCTGTATGTTTTTGTAAGTATTTATCCAATTGCAGTTTAAACCTCTGTAGTGACTCTGACAAAACCACCTCTTTAGGCAGAGAATTCCATATCCTTATTGCTCTTACTGTAAAAAAAAAAAACCTTTTCTTTGCCTTAGATGAAATCTCCTTTCTTCCAGCCTAAATGTGTGACCTTGTGTCATATGTATAGCCCTGTTTATGAATAGAATTCCAGATAAAGGTTTGTACTGGCCCCGAATATATTTGTATAAAGTTATCATATCCCCTCTCAGGCTCCCCTCCAAACTAAACAGATTTAATTGTTTTACCCTTTCTTCATAACTAAAATGCTCCATTCCTTTTATCAATTTTGACATTGCATATTTCTGCCTAATTTGTTATCTATAACAATTCCCAAATCCTTCCCGTGTGTGGTTATCCCTAATTCACTACCATTTAGGGTGTAAGTTGCTTGTACATTCTTAACCCCGAAGTACATAACTTTGCATTTCTCTACGTTAAATTTCATCTGCCATTTTAGTGCCCAGTCCCCCAATCTATCCAAATCCCTCAGCAGCAAAGCAATATCCTGCTCACATTTTATTACTTTACAAAGTTTTGTGTCATCTGCAAACACTGATACATGGCTTTCAATGCCTATTTCAAGATCATTTATAGATATGTTAAATAGAAGTGGTCCCAAAACAGAACCCTGAGGGACACCACTTACCACTTTTGTCCAGCCTGAAAATTTACCATTAATGACAACTCATTGTACTCTATCCTTAAGCCAATGTTCTACCCAAGAACAAGAATATTCATCTAGACCAATTTCTTTTAGTTTGAAGACTAACCTATTGTCAGGAACCGTATCAAATGCCTTGGCAAAATCCAAGTAGATCACATCCACTGCAACACCCTGATCTATACTTACTTCGTAGAATGCAATTAGGTTAGTATGACACGACCTATGTTTCATAAAACCATGCTGATTATTGCTAATAACAAAGTTCTTCCCAATGAATTCCTGAATATTATCCCTTAATAGCCCTTCAAATATTTTCCCAGTTACAGAAGTTAAGCTCACAGGTCTATAATTTCCAGGCAAGGATTTTGAACCCTTTTTAAATATAGGAACAACATCTGCCTTCCTCCAATCCTCCGGTACAACACCTGAAACAAAAGAATCTTGAAAAATTAAATACAGAGGTTTACTTATTTCCCCACTTAGCTCCTTAAGTACTCGTGAGTGAATACCGTCAGGCCCCGGAGCGTTATTTACATTCATTTTCTTTAATAGCTGTAGCATCTTGTCTCGAGTTATCCAATCACAAGTTATTTTGCAGCAATCATTTGCATATCTCTTGCCATAGGATCCTCATTAATATATACTGAAGAAAAATAGTTATTTAACATTTCTGCTTTTTCCTGGTCTTCATTAGCTAATAAACCCAACTCTGTTTCCAGTGTACCTACACTTTCATTTTTTGTTTTTTTAGAATTGATGTACTTGAAAACATTTTTGGGGTTGGTTTTGCATTCTTTGGCTATCAGTTTCTCATGTTCTAGTTTAGCCACTTTAATTGCCTTTTTGCAAGCATTATTGGCTTCCTTATATCTTATATAGGATGCCTCTGATTTGTCTGATTTAAATGCTTTAAATGCCCTTTTCTTATTTTTAATCTCTTGTTTTACTTCTCTACTAAGCCACATTGGTTTTAATTTGTTTCTTTTATATTTATAATCCAATGGTACATACTGAGAAATGTACCTTTCTAATATTTGTTTGAATACTTTCCATTTATCTTCAGTGTTTTTTATCACTAAGGAGTTTATGCCAGTCGATATGTTGTAGAGCTGCCCTAATCTTATTGAAATTGGCTTTTTTTAAATTATATGTTTTAGTATACCCCACTACTCTACTATGAGTTTAATGAGCTAGAGGAAATAGAAGAGAGTGTGGAGAGGACAGACAGCAGCCCAATATTTTCTCTCGCAGCTAGAGTGCACATACATTCTGCATCTTCTCCAAGTCTATCTGTATCTGCTTTAGAATCACCTCATCCAATGGAGACAGTTGTACCATCAGCTGTGCCTGCTAAAGGTTGCACAAGTAGATCACCTGCTGTCATTGTTCACATTACCACGAATACCACTATTATCATTTCCTTTAGCATTAATCAACCAAAAATCTGTCCGTAAAACCACAGCATTTGTGAAAATGGTCCATCATGAAGGGGCTAACTAAATAAATGCTAAATTATACATAACATGTACAACTAAAGAAAATAACTTAAAATAGATTAATTTGTTAGTCCTGATTATCTAGTGCCTCATATGGCAAGTATTTCAATTCAATTTTAGAAGGTATATGCCTTTGTGGGATGCTTGTGAATTTATGAATTTATAGGTTGAAATAGGATAGATCAATAGGATAGAGTTTTGTCTTAATATTTATTCCAGGATTTCTGTCTCCTTTATGGAGATCACCTATTTTTGTTTATTTGAAATAGGTGGCCTGTCCATTTCAGACTTCAGACATGCTATTTTCTCAACTGCTATTTACCCCAATATGACATGGCATTTTAAAAAGTAGGCAATACAGGCTCATTCCAAGGTGCTATTTGAAGTATTATCAAGTAGCCATTTTGTCACCATTTACTGCCAAATATAGCAGTAATAATTTTGTCCTGTGATTTTATAACCCTAGATTTTTTTTAGCCACATATTTTGGGGCTTTATAGGTTCCTCTACATGGTCTGACAGGAAGCTGCTAATTAGCCTCAGTGACCAGCTTCCTGTAAGACTTGGTAGAGAATACAGAAGATCCTCTACTCCTCTACTGTGGTCTGCTCGGCCATGCTACATGCAGTGATCAGCAGGAGGAAGAGCACTATACAGTGTGCCCCCTACTGCTGGTCACCCATAGATTGCTCCCCCTGCAATGGTGCGTCCTAGACAACAGCCTACTTTGCCTAGCAATAGCACCACCCCTGATTTGAAATTCTTTGAATTCTCACTTTAGTGACTAACCTTGTGAGACAATATTTACACTTCCCAACTCTCCAATAGGAGCACAATATTTAAAAGATCAGGGTATGAGATTTATACATATAAATACATATAAAATAGATGCAGTGAAACAATCAGTCACTTAACTTTTTATAAATTACCTCCAATGTTTCTATTTTTTATTTTTCTTTGAATTGTTTGCCCTGGATTTGTCTTGTCTGAACTGGATTATACTGTCTTTTGTTAAATCTTTGATATAAATGTATAAGAAAGCAGTGCCTCTGATAAAAAAAAAAGCAGTCAGCAACGCATACATTATAGGTGATTTTGCAATGGTTTAATCAATGGTGACAGTTCCACTTTACGTCAAAGGACAGGGCTGGCATTTTCATAACTATGTCCTAGGACAGAGGTAGGCAAGCTATGGCATGTGTGCCATGCATGGCACTTGAGGTGTCTTTGCACGGCACTCAAGACTGCCAGAGCTAAACAGGCTCTGGCCTATAAGGAGTCCCAGTGAATCTTCAGATATCTGCTAATACAATTCCAGCACTTGTAGTAATGCAGCCCGCAGCTGCTGTTGCAGCTCCTGTCCTAGACCTGTAAATGGCCAGCCTGGTCCCCACTCGAACCCAGGAAGGCCACCCACACTGCTAGATATACACAGAGCTGCAAAATAACCCTCCCCTCACACAAATAATATGAACAGCCAACACAGAATCTGCACAAACGTAACACCACTGACAATCTACATGCATGCACACAATCCCACATGCAGTGTCTCACATGCAATACTCCAAACAGCCCCACACATACACACACCAAACACACAATATGACATATCAGTCCACACACACAATTCCACAAGCAGCCCCCATACACAGACCACATTCATAGGTATCATTACAATACCACAAGCTACTCATGAACATATACAATATCATAGACAAAAAATATTGGATGAATAATCCAATAGGTATTCAGGAGTAGTGTATACCTTTAAATATGAACTAGCATTTAAGAATGTTAAAACAGTATGATATGATTTGGAATAGCATATAAATAGAAAGCATATATAAAACAAGTGATATGAATATGCTCTTGCAATAAATCCAATAGTCAGACAAAATGTTCTTGTATTGATACAATTGTATCATTTAGAGTGAGAGTTCATAACAGTCCGTAAATAATGTTAGCTGCTTCAGCTTTTACCAGTTATAAACGAACTGGAATAATGAATGCTGAATTAGCTGAATTAGTATAGTAATTGTTATATACAATTGTTATATACAATATAATAGCTTACATACGTACAAATACAACGATACAAAGCAACTGCAGTATAAATAACACAGACAGAATATGTCAACATGCACAACTCAATTAAAAAAAAAAAAATAGGACAGGCACCCTATGGGACATCAAAATCCTAACATAAAATGTATGTTTCATTGCATCCATCACTATGCATCAACCATGTATTATGCTTTGCTAAATGCAACTGCAATCAGACATATATGTGAATGGTATTACTAAGGATTACAATCTAAAAAGCATGTCTAGCATTAGTGTAATGAGGAATGAGTGACCAGGTATGACCTGCTGAGCTTGTAAAGTAGCACAGCCTGAGCTATGGAGCTCTGAGTGACTCCAGCTATGGCTGACATTAATCACATCTGTCTGACAAATAGCTTTCTCTGCAAGCAAGCTTCTAAACTCTCCACAGTCATGCCTCTCACAGAGAGTTAAAGGACACTCATGTAGTAAGTTAACTCTCTTGGATCTGGAAAGAAGGATCATCTCAACTCTTATTTAGAACAGAACTAGATATGATCTAAAATCGTCCCTTACCACAAGAATAAAAACCTGCAGAAATGCTAGATGGAACTTTGTAAAGTCTTTTGGTCTTTAATACATATAAAAAACATAGTGTTCAAGTAGAAATTGTAGCCGTATTAGTCCAGTGATGTAGATGTAAAAAAAACAGATAAAATTAATATCTTGTAATACCTTTTTTATTAGGCTAACAGAATTTTTTAATGACAAGCTTTCGGGAGAACCTCCCTTTGTCAAGTCTGTTCATTTCTGAGCAAGGCGACACATAGAATTCAAAGTTGAGTTATGATACAGGGGTTAAAGTGAGGGCGGGGTGGGGGGGCTCATACATGAACATGAAAGCATATATTCAAATATAAATGTCACATGTATAAGCATTCATGCATAAGAGTATGGGAAAGCATAGGTCTACACATATTACTTTGTATATTGATAGAAAAAAACATTGGAATACGTTTTAAAGTGTTGATACATATGACAGAACAGTAAGATAATGTGGGGGAGTGTTCATGTAAAGTGTTGGTAGTGGGACAGGAAACCAAAATCAATATTTAGTCCTCTATTCTTGATGTTAAACATTTTGATAATTCTTACTTTAAACATTTTTCTTGTGTAATTTTAGAACCCCCTTTCAGTACTTTGATTTTTAGGTCCTTCATTGAGTGGCCAGGCTGGGTAAAATGGTGTCCCACAGGAGTGCAGTTCTTTGTGGTGTTTAATGGAGCGTCTGTGCATATTCATTCTGCCATTTCATTGCTGGGTGGTTTCCCCAATGTAGCATCTTACCACATTGTTGGATGTGCAGGAGTATGAACCTTTAATGCTGTAGGTTTTATTGTTGTGTGTGGCTGTGTTGTCTGTGCATATGTGCTGACACAGTTTGCAGCGAGGTTTTTTGCATTGACTGGTCCAGTTTTCTTTATTATTACCATCAG